GAGAGAGAGAGAGAGAGAGAGAGAGAGAGAGAGAGAGAGAGAGAGAGAGAGAGAGAGAGAGAGAGAGAACATCTCTGTTTCTGAATCTGACTCAGAACTGCTTCCAGATTCATACAAAATCATCCAGGCCGATTTGGCCGAAGTGGGTGGGCTCGGCATGAGGCTGTAGGCCTTGGTCCACGCCGTTTCATATTTGAATTTCAAGGACCTGCGGCCCCCACGCCGTTTCAAAATATTTTAGACCACGGCCACCTATCGGTTCCCGGGAAAATGCCACGGGCAAATACCGGTCCTGCATTTGCTTGAACTGCGCCCCCCCCCCTAAATGCCAGTGCCTTTCATTTTACCAGCCTTTGAACGACCAATGGGCCCGAATGAACCGGTATAACGAACAACGACGAAAATGTCTCAGGGGGGGAAAACGCAACCCTGACGGGCTGCAAACTGTTCTGGATGATTTTGTCTGAATCTGGAAGCAGTTCTAAGCCAGATTCAGAAACAGAGATGTTCTCTCTCTCTCTCTCTCTCACACACACACACACACATACACACACACGCACACACACACACACACACACACACACACACACACACACACACACACGCATACACACACACAGGGCCTCGCCACAGCCAAAACGAAACAAACTACGGGCTGCACACCAGTGCCCTCACGGTAAGTCAATGCTACCGGTCCCCCGAATTTCCAACGTCGGGTAGAGTGGTGGTTTGAATTCGAAGCCTATTGTGGTCGAAATCGAAACAGGCCAAAAGCAGCGGCGGCCGCTCCGGTTCCCTCTCCGTTCACAAAGTGATAGTCTCCCTGTGTGCGCCGGGAGCGTGGTGCCTTATCGATCGAGGCGTTTTGACAAATTGGCGCCGCGCCTGATTTCTCTCTCTCTCTCTCTCTCTCTCTCTCACACACACACACACACACACACACACGTCCATAACAACATCAACAAACAAACTACGGGCTGCGCACCCGTGCCCTCACGGTAAGTCAATCGAGGGTAGTGGAACGAGGCCCATAATGAAGGACGACGAAAATGTCTCAAGGAGGGAAACGTCTCAGGGGGGAAAAACGCACCCCTGACGGGCTGCGAACATGGCCCCTTTTTTTTTTCTTTCTGGCGAATGGCAGCTGACGTTGACGAACGTCCGCAGAGGGAGCAAGCCGGGCTAGGTCCCACTTGCACGAATTAAGCGATATTGACCGTATATAGCAAAGATCGACGGCCAGAATCCCATAATCCGTGCAAGTGGGACCTTGCCCCGGAGCGGGATGGAACGAGTGGCAACTGTGAAGCCAGAGTGAGGGCGGGACAATTCCGTTGAGATTCTTGCCCCAGCGTTCTGTTCTGGAAAGCGTTGCGGTCCCCTATGAATGATATGATGAATTCAGGGACAGGGGCGGAACTAGCGGGCCCGGCGGGGCTTTCCCCCCTCCCCGCCTACAGTCGGCTCCCGCCGGTGGATGCCTCCCGCGCCGCTAATGGCGGGTTATGCGGCGGGTAGCACCACTGGGTGTGACACCCCGACCAATTCCCCCCCCCAGGCGCCACTTGCCCCCGCCGCAGCACGGCGGAATTGAGGCAAGAGCAATTCTCTGCTGGTAACCGCGGCGCCGCAACGACGCAAACTAATGTCGGAAAATATTGATTGATTGAAATATTGATCGAATTGATCGAATTGATTGAATTGATGCAGCAGCACTGTTCTGCGCGCTAAAGCGCGGGCTCTCGTCAAAATGTTTTCATTTTCAAAGCTCAAATCATGCATGAATGGTGAGAGCGCTAACACTGTTCTGCTGCTGTAGGCACTAACGACGCGGCGCAACAGTCTCTCTGCACAAACGCCCTGGGTTTTGCCTAGTGGCCTGTTGCGCCATTGGTGGTCCATCGCCGCCGCCTCCGTCGGTCCGTACACTGGGGAGCCTTCAGATGGAGGACGACCATAACCGTAGCATGAAAGCCGCATAGCTTTCGTCTTAGGTCGTGCGTGCTTTGTGTATCACGTCCGCCACTGTCGAACGATCAATCTCTGTCAGTCTGTCTTTCCACCTGGGTAGCTTCTCTTCAAGTTGGAGGTTTTTAGGGCCAGATCCCGCTAGCCCCTATTGTTCATTTCTGACCGTTGATCTTCGTAATCGAGGGTGAAAAATGAATAATCCAGGGTGGTGGGATCTGACCCTTAGAAGATCAATACATCAGCTTTGACAACAAAAGAAGTCGATTGTTGGAAAGTGTCGGTCATGCAGTGTTCTGTTTCCACATGTCAACAGCGTTCTGTTTCTACATGTCATCAGGTATCGGGACCTGGAAAGGAGCGGGAGTTCGACGCCCCGGTAGCATTTGCATATGTCGCGTAGATTATATGTGCTTGCGTCGTGGTTCAGAGCGCAGCAGGAGGAGGAGGAGGAGGAGGAGAGGGAGAGGGAGAGGGTAGAACCGGAAGGCAAGTCCTTGCAGATGGGCACACACACAACCCCACTATTACACACACGTATTGTGACAGTGTAAGGAGTATCGCGCCGGATTGCCTCCCAGGTTCCTATGGGGGGCAGCTTCGACGGAAGTAGAAGGAAGCACGGTTTCGTTGTCTGAGGTCTGCGCAACGAAGGAGAAGTGGAAGGAGGAGAAGCAGGAGGGGAGGGGAGGGCGAGGGGGGGGTTGGAGGGGGGGGGGGGGGGGGGGGGGGGGGGGGGGGGGGGGGGGTTGGAGGGAGGGGGGGGGGGCTGTGGTTGAGTGTAGGGTCTTGTCGGCGTTCCTTCCTTCTTAACTCTTCTCTCTCTCTGTGTGTGTGTGTTACAGGCTCTGAGTCGTCCAGGTTCAGTCCTTTGGTCTTTGATCAGTTGATGGGAAAAGACACTGTCCAGAGGGAATCGGTGGAAGTCTTAGGGGGTCGTATATGCGATGATAGTGACCGTAAGATGGAGATGGAGATAGGCCATGAAAATGATCATTCGATGGAGGAGAGCACATCCGCTTTCCTATTAAGGAAAGAGAGGAGTTGGAATTCGTCATGTCCAAGGGTTGAGGAGTCACATGAAGTCTCGACGGACTGCGTGACTCAGCAAAGTGGATCGGGCTCAGCAGCTGTGACGGCGACCATGACCATGGCTATGGCGTTCTCCAGTGCAGGGCCTTTTGGCATCAAATGGGGCCTTTTTCTAATTGCCAACGTGGCTATCAGTCTGGCCGCGCTGGGCGTGTTGGCGGGGGCGGAATTCTACCCGCGAAATCGACGGGAATTGATTATTCTGGGAGTGTCAAGCGGTTCCATTGCAGGTACGCTGCGATCCTCTCCTCCTTCCTTCTCCTCCCCGTCCTCCTCCGTCTCCTCCTCCTCCTCCTCCTCGTCCCCCTCCTCCTTCTCCTCCTCCTCCCTTCTCCTCCTTCCTTCTCCTCCTTCCTTCTCCGTCTCCTCATCCTCTTCGTGCTTCTTCGTGTCGTCCTCCTCCTCCTCTTGATAGTCGTGTCCTGCTGCCGGTCGTTTTCCTCTATCCTCGTGGTGGTCGTCGTCGTCCTTGTCCTCTGCCCTCACCTCCTCTACTCTGTACTTTCCTTGAACTCTCTCTCTCTCTCTCTCTCTCTCTCAGCTGCCTCCGAAGATATCGAAGATCATCATGTTGCTCTTGTGCTTTGGTACCTTCTCTCTCTCTCTCTCTCCTCGCTCTCGCTCCCCCGTTTCTCCACTGTCCCTCCCTCCCTCTCTCTCCGTCCTCTCCTGTCTACTTGGCGCCCCCGCATCCATCCGTAATAGTTGATGTGGCAATTTATCTTCACGCCCTGCATCCAGATTGAGGGTTGGCCGGTGGGTGGGTGGTTTTGGGGGCAGGAGGGAGGTTGGGGTGGCCGTCGTCCTGCGAGATCTATGTCCATCGCTGGACAGAGGGTAGGCGGATATGGACCAGGGGCAAAGCACTATGGGGAGGTTGAAGAGGATTTGGAGGAAGAATAGCAGGAGGAAGAGGAGGAGGAAGAGGAGGAGGAAGAGGAGGAGGAAGAGGAGGAAGAGGAGGAGGAAGAGGAGGAGGAGACGGAGGAGGAGGAAGAGGAGGAGGAGGAGGAAGAAGAGACGAGGCAATTATCGGAGGTTTGATGCGCACAACCTATCACAATAACCACCTTCCCTATGGTGGGTGTAATTCAGGAGGAGGAAGAGGAGGAGGAAACGGAGGAGAAAGAAGACGACCATAGACAGGCAGGCGGTTATGGTTGGTGCGACTAGAGTGGTACTAGACTATGGGCCTCGCTCCACTACACTCTACATGCATTTGGACCCCTTTCTGGAGCAGTGATTTATAGGAGTCCAATTTCTATAGATGTATCGGGGACTATTATGAGTTCCAGATACATGTAGAGTGTTGTGTAGTGGAGAGCGAGGCCCTATCCTGCTGGCTACCTCTCATCACCGTAGCCAGCCAAGCTCCGAAACCGCTTCGGCCAAGTTCCAAAACCTGTTGGAATTCTGTGCCAGGATCATGAAATCCTTTCAGGGATCCAGCCCACCTGCATGCACGGTATTTCCTTGGCATCCCCTTTCCCCACACCCGCCGCGCGCCAAGGGATGGTGCGCTTGTCCTGCTGTTGTCTTGAATCTAGTCGTGTCCATCCCCCCCCCCCGGGGGGCCCTCTCTCTCTCTCTCTCTCTTCTCCTCCGCCACCTTCTATCTCTGTTCTCCTCCCGCCCCGCACCCCTTCGATTCTCTCAACGCCTGACGTTCCTCTGCTAAGCCGATACTTATACTCTCTCTCTCTCTCCCTTCTCTCTTCTTCGAGTCCCCTCCTCGCATTTCTGCGCATTTTCTTCTCCTATTTTAACAACCCAATCCTGGGTAAAGTCCCGCAACTCATTCCCCCTCTTTCCCCCTCTTTCCCCCTCTTTCCCCCTCTCCCGCCCCGCTCTTCTCCCCAACCCTTTCGTCCTTGTCTCGGTTGTTGGTGCCTCTCATCTCCTGACATCCCTTGAGGAGGGGACGATATGGTTCCGTCTCTCTTCTTCTTTTAACCATGTGCATTCAGTTGCTTGATGGGTCACGTTAAAGCCGCGCTCTTTCGCTTCATGTCAACGTTTCTGTTGTTTCTGTCCTCCCTTTGCCCCCCCTTTTCTCCTGACCCCGCCCTCGTATCTCTTTTTCTCTTTCTTTTCCCTTTTGTTATGCGCACACCGCCTTCTCGCCTGAGTGCGACAATCTCTTCTCCTCCCTCTCTCCTCCTCCCTCTCTTCTCCTTCCCCCTCTTCTCCTCCCTCTTCTCCTCCCTCTTCTCCTGCCGTACCGCGCTCCTTATGCCTCAAGACCTCCAGACATGTTAATGGCCGACATTACACCACCACGCACTCATAGAAACTGACGATAGATGACGGACACTGATATCTCGCTTTATCAGTAGTAGTAGTAGTAGTAAACTCTTGGCCAGTCTCTCTCTCTCTTCCCCCGTGTTTCTCTCTTGCCGTGCCTCTGTTTCTGCTATTTTTCTTCTTTTCCAGCCCGTATGGATTTAGAGAATCCACACCCCCCATCCGTTGCCTGACGTCTCGTTGCCGACTATCAAGGCTGCCGACTATCAAGGCTGTCTGGGCGTTTTGAATGGTTGCTATGGTAGTGGCTATGTGTGGCCATTTTGGATGGCGGCTATGTCTGGCCGTGACGGCTATGTCTGTCCTCGGGGCCATGTCTGTCTATGTGGGTTACGTCTGTCTATGGGGGCTAACTCTGTCTATGGGAGCTCTGTGGGCTATGGGAGCTATGTGTAGTCGTTTTGGATGGTGGGTAAGGTGGATATGGCTTGGTGCGTGGTTGCGGGTGGTGGTAGTGTGCGTCGGAGGTTTTCTGTTGATAGTCATGTTTGATTGAAGTCACAGCACTGGGCTGCGTCTTTCCAGTCGGTAGGTGGATGCGCTCGTCTGATTTGTTTGTTTTCAATGGGAAAATTGTCGACATTCCTCAAAAACAAAAACAAGAAAATCGATTAAAAAAAGCTAGACGTGTGGTCATTATTGCAGGCAGAGCAAGGTCAATAATTCCCCCCCCCCCTTCCCCCCTTTCTCCTTTTCTTCAACCACAGAATCTCAAGGGTAGTAGTAGTAGTTATAGGGCCAGATCCCACTAGCCCCTATTGTTCATTTCTGACCGTTGATCATCGTAATCGAGGGTGAAAAATGAATAATCTCAAGGGTAGTGGGATCCGACCCTGAGCAGTCCAGGCACAGGGACCACACACGTATTGGTAGGCGAAGTGACAGGTGAGAAAGCAACCGTGCTCAAATTTGCGCCAGCAAGGCAATTGGGTTTAACTGATCGATTTTTTTTTTTTTTTTTTTACAAAGTAATCTTGCTTTGCTCCAGCAAGGCAAAAATAAATAAAAATGGATTAACTGATTTTTTTTTTTTTTTCGAACTGAGCTTAAGTTCTCGTAAGCCCCCATTAACTCTGGCGAAGTTCTGCAAACAGAAAATCGGGCGAAGTTCTGCAAAGAGGAAAAAAGGAAAAAGAAAGCCCCTGTGGTCGTGGGATCGTCAATCTAACAGATCAACTGGTAAAGAGGGGGGGAAGGAATTCTGGATAACCAGGGTGGTCGTAAAATTTGTAGTGGTAGTTTGAACGGATCAATTTTTTTTTAATCAACTGTCAGTGAATCTAACGAAGTCATAAATCATCATTCATCAATCATCGTTCATAAGTGAGATGGTCACTTATAGAGCACTCGATTACTAAATCACTGTCATTAAGTAAATTAAATTTAATGTCGATCGATCCATTCATCTTTCATCAATCCATTCATCAATCCATTCATCAATCATCAATCCATTCATCATGTGGAAGCAATCTTCCGGCGCGTCCATCAAAAGTTCCCCATTGGTTAATCCATTCATCAATCCATTAATCAATTGCTCATCATGTGTAAGCAATCTTGTTGCTGCGCGTCTATCAGAAGTAATTTCCCATCAATAGAGATAGTGCATCGACGAATCGGTTCACCTGTGGACGATTGAAGAGCTAATCAATTAGAATGGAATCAGCTGCGTTGGTTAAGTGCTATGACGATTGAGGAGCTAATCAAATAAAATATTATTCCTTCAGCTTTGCGTTAATTAAGTGCTATGGCTTTGACGTTAGTTTCCTCATGTCGGTGGCGTTTCCTCGTGATCCATGAGTCCACCGATGAATTCACGTTTAATCAACACAGTGAATCTATGAACCAATCTACAGATCAACCCACCGGTCAGCCAGCCTTCAAGCAACTAATCAGTCAATCAATCAACCAGTCAATCAACGAATGCCTCTATCAATTAGCAATTCAATTAATGCATCAATCAACAGAGCAACGAATCTATAAATCAATCAACGAATCAACGAATGAATCAGCTAATCAATCAATCAACCACTCAATCAACCACTCGATCAAAACAATCAAGCAATCAAGCAATCAATCAATCAAGCAATCAAGCAATCAAGCAATCAATACACTGATCAGCAAACTGATTAACCCGTTAACCAATCTATCAACTAATCAAGCAATCAGTCGACAAAGTAATCAATCAACCAGTCGATCAGTTAATCAATCCTCCATGCAAACAATTGTTATTAATCCATAATTCGATTGACCCCGGACTTTATATACGAGCGAGCCATCGATCGATCATGGACGCGGGCACGGAGCTAGCAATCAATCCATCTGTTACTGCTCTTTTTTTTTTTTTTTTTTTGAAACAGTAGTCTACATCTGTTACTGCTCATATCACCCCCTCTAGAAAGGACCGCAGGCCTAAAAAAAAAAAACAAGAAGAAAAAAAGAAGCGTCCACAATGTTTGCGGAAGAGAGAGACTGTGAATTTTTTTAAAGGGAAGGGGAGATAAGAAGGGCATGCTCACACTACTGTAGGCCCTTATAATGGCAGAATTGCAAAATCGGCGGCCAGATCGCGTCCTTCTCAAAGGACTTGATCTGACCGCTGAATTTGCGATTCTGCGGTTTTTTTGAGGGCCTAGTGTGAGTGTATAAAGGTAATATGTGGGTGGAGCAAAAAAAAATAATGGGGATGGAGCGGAATGCCCTTCTGAGAGAAGTTCTGAGCATTTGCCTGAATTCGTGAAATACCCCGCACGTCGATTGGACCGTCGTCTTTTCAATTTCAAGATTACCCCTATCGGGTACCAGTCCGAGTTTTGGAAGTCCCCCCACTACTAGCAGACCTTTTGAGGGCCCAATTACAGTCCTACGTATTCTCGGCCTGCTGAATCAGTGGCTGACATTCTGAATAGCCATGCAGTTTGGAACAATCATTGGAATTATCCTCATGCTGACACATTGCCGTATCTCTATT